GTCGCTTTGGTGGCACTGCCTGTCCCTTTTCGAGCCTCCCCACTAGCCGGGTCTGAGACGGGAGCCGCCGGCCCCTCCTCCCAGGCTGCTGCCATGGTCGCTCCTGCGAGGGGGTGAGTGAGACTTCGCTGCCAGCTCCCCGCACCAAGAGGGCCTCCTCGTCTCTGTGTTGACGTCAGAGAGGGAGAAAGGGCCCAGGGACCGTTTCCCGTGGACTTTTCTATACTTCATGGTGCCCTGAGCGTCCCTGTAACGCGGAGGGCTTGTGAGTGAGGTTTACTTATTCCATAGAAGTCACCTGGAGGTCCAGCAGGGAGAGACACTGTGTTTTGGAATTTACGGGAGGCACCAATGGTGGCCGGTCGGTGAAGAAGGAACCCCTGCATTGGGACCCTACGGCAAGCAGCTATGTAATGAGCAAGTTCATTATTCAAATTGGTCTGTGGTGTTTACAAGTACAGTAAGGGGGCCGCCCACAGTGTTTTCAGCTCTGCGGGTCATTTGCATCCTGTGACTCATTACTGGGAATATGCATCTCCTGCAGAAACCAGCCTTGGGCAGAGGCTGCTCCAGGTGGGAGGGGCAGAAGGAAGCCAGATATGGGGAAAGGGTCTGTGACCGGACAGGTACCTCACAGTCCCCTTCCAGAATGCTGATCACATTCGACACGGATTATTCTCCCCAAGAACAGGATGCACCTGTCTTGACCCATGTCCTCAGTGCCTGGTGCAGTGGGTGCTCTGCTAAGTGCCTGTCGGGCAGAATGATATTTCCATCAGCCTCTGCTCACAGGTAGAGAGCACGGGCCGGAAGGGTTTTCCTGCTCCCGTTCTGTTGCAGTGAGGTTCCGAGTTCAGACCAGGCTGGACTGCATCACCCTCTGTGCAGCCCATTGGGTTCCAGTCCGTCTCTCTGCTTCCCTCCAGGCCTGGGGTTGTGCTGCTCCCTGTTTCTGGCCCATCCTCTCCCTTCCTCCACTTTTGCTGACCACCCCTCGTCTCCTCTCCCACCTCTGCCTAGATGCTGCCCTTCCCAGAACCCCCCTTGACCCTCTTCAGGGCTCCCTTGTGGCACTTGTCACTGTTATCTCCTGGTTCCCGGTCTGCCCAGGAGAAGGTGTGGATGGTCGCTTGGTCATGGCCGTACAACCTCGCTTCGGGCCGCACCCGGCCTGCAGTTGGATGCATCTGGCTTTCTGCCCTTTCTGGACTGTGTTCCTGGTTGGACAGCCCCTCTTGCCTTTAGTTTTGGGCAGCTCACTGGTGCCCTCATGCCCAGCCCAGGGATGTCACCTATGCCAGTGCCCACGGGGGTGGGGGGGCTGCCTTCTCCTCCCTTCTGGGGCTCCCGTCCTCAACTGTTCCCTTGACAGCCATTTATTGGGCACCTACTTTGTGCCAGGCATGGCTGTAGGTACTGGGGTGAGCAGTATAAGCCCTTACCTTCAGGGAGTTGTAGGGGAGACAATGAGCTAATCAGCAAATGAATGAATAGTGTACTTTCCCAGGAGGTGAGTGTCAGGGAGAAGAATAAAGCCTGGTAAGGGTAGACAAGAAAGGCCTCTCTGAGATGATGTCAGGCAGAGACCTGGGTGAAGGGGTGAACCAAGTGTGTGTCCACGGAAGAACCTTCTTGCTAAAGGGAAGTGCACACGCAAAGATCCTGAGACAGCCATCCCTGGGACACTGATCCATGGCTTAGCCTTTCCTCAGCTCTGAGGCCCCTCTCTCCTGGCCTTTCTGCTTTTTGTTCATGTGGCAGATACCTGTTCTTTCACAATTCTTTTTCCTGCTTCCAGGAAAGACTGGATCATTTTTCTTAGGAAACTTCCCGTTGCCAGCCCAGGGGATTCTTGAGAACTATTTGTTGATTGACTTACAGGCTGGCTGGGAGACTTTCCTGTTGACCAGTCTCTCCCTGGGTACAGAATGTGGCATGTGCTCTCTCTCCTTTTGCAGACGCCGGCTGGGCCCCCACGTCTGCCTTTCTGGGTTTGGGAGCGGCTGCTGTCCAGGCTGGACGCCCACCATGGGCAGTGGGCACTGCACCCTGCGTAAGTGCTCATCCCCGGACCCCAAACCTTCTCCACCCTGGTCTGAGGGGCAGATTGGGGGCCCCAGCCCCTAGTCCCTCACCTTCGTTTCTCCTCTCAGCTCTCTGTGCCTTCGGCTGTGGGAGTGGCATCTGCATTGCTCCCAACGTCTGCTCCTGCCAGGATGGAGAGCAAGGAGCTACCTGCCCAGGTAACTAGGGGTGAACACAGCTGGATTAGCATCGAGGTTACGCGCCGGGCACTGGGCACTTGAGGTGCGTTCTGGCACACAGGCTTCAACTGCCCCTATCGGGTAGACTTTGCTTTCTTTTTTCTTTTACTTGGCGTCTCACTCTGTCGCCCAGGCTGGAGTGCGGTGGCATGCTCACAGCCACCACAGCCTTGACCTGCTGGGCTCAGATGATCCTTCTGCCCCAGCCTTCCAAGTAGCTGGAACCACAGGCATGCCCCATCACGCCCAGTTAATTTTTTGATTTATTATAGAGATAAGGTCTTGCCAAGTTGCCCAGGCTGGTCTCGATCCCGTGGGCTCAAGCAGTCCTCTCACTTCGGCCTCCCAAAGTGCTGGGATTATAGGTGTGAGGCACTGCGCCCGGCCTTGGGTAGACATTCCATTCCCATTTCCCGGATGAGGACACTGAGACGCAGATGTTAGTCTCTTGCCCAGGGTCACACAGCTAGTAGATGGCAGAGCTGGATCTAAATTCATGCCTGTTTGCCTCCAGAGCCACCCTCCCGAGAGAATGCAGGAGCCTGGTGAGGTGGGGGGGGTGGCCTGGACCAGGTGCGGTGCCCTAGGGTGGGTGCGCGCTCACCGGTGTGATGCCTGTTTTAGAAGCCCACGGGCCCTGCGGGGAGTACGGCTGTGACCTTACCTGCAACCACGGCGGCTGTCAGGAGGTGGCTCGCGTGTGCCCTGTGGGCTTCTCGATGACAGAGACAGCTGTTGGCATCAGGTGTACAGGTGAGTGGCCTGGGAATGGTGGGGGAGAGGGCGTGCAGGAATTATGTCTCCTCCCTGTCCTGCCGGGATGGTCACCCAGAGAGTTAACGAGAACCACTGAGCCAGGACAAGCTCTGACATTTGAGAGTGGGCAGAGGCCACACAAATGAAAGAAATGTGTCACTTCTGTTGTTTCACAGATAAGCATTGGGCATCTCGATGGGCAGGAGCTGGGCAAGGGGCTGGGCTTGTGGGAGCCACAGACAGTCCCTGGTAGGGAGACGGAGACAAGTAGCAGGACCAGGAAAGCCCCTTGGTGTGGGGACCGTGCTGGGAAGGTCAAGTTGCCGGGGACCACAGAGGGCCGTGGGACCTGGAGGCAGGGAGGGCTCCTGGGGACAGTGACAGTCGACAGCTGTGGAAAGCCAAGCCTAATCATTATTTTGCAAAAGTAGTATTTGTGATTTTACAGTGTTCCCACAGGTAGAGTCTGTTACCTTCCCCAGAGGCAGCCGCTGTGACCAGTTTTTTGCCTATCTTTTCATGGTGGTGAAAGCCTTTTGGGTTTTAACTTTGTAAAAATAATGTTTCTCCTCTGGATAAAAAAGTAAGAGAGTGGCCGGGTGTGGTGGCTTATGCCCGTAATCCCAGTACTTTGGGAGGCCGAGGCGGGAGGATCCCTGGAACCCAGGAGTTTGAGACCAGTCTGGGCAGCATAGTGAGACCTCGTCTCTACAAAAAAACTTGAAACTTAACCAAGTGTGGTGGCACGTGCCTGTAGTCCCAGTTACTCAGGAGGTTGAGGTGGAAGGATCGACTGAGCCCAGGAGGTCGAGGTTGTGATAAGCTGTGATCATGCCACCGTACTTTAGATTGGGTGGCAAAGTGAGACCCTATCTCCAAAAAATGTTCCAGGCTTGGTGGCTCAGCCTGTAATCACAGCACTGTGGGAGGCTGAGACAAGTGGATTGCCTGAGCCTGCAGGTTCGAAACTCACCTGGGCAACTTGGCGAGACCTCGTCTCTATAATAAAAAATAAAAAATTAGCCTAGTGTGGTAGCGCGCACCTATAGTTCTGGCTTCTTGGAAGGCTGAGGCAGAAGGATCGCCAGAGCCCAGCAGGTTGAGGCCACGGTGGCCGGGAGCATGCCTCTGCACTCCAGTTTGGGACAAAACAGTAAGACTCCAACTCAAAAAAAAAAAAAGTAAAAGGAAAGTAAAAGAGAATTCAGTTTAGAACGTGTGGAAAGTAAAAGGAGAAAGGTGAAAGGTGAAAATAAACATCCCCTGGAAGTCTTCCAGAGATATTTGTTACTAAAATGAAGTTTTGTTTTTTCCTGTCCTTTTTCCTGGGTGGGTGTATATTTGTGAGCACGTGTACGTGTTTGTATATCTGTGTTAGGCATGCATATATGTATGTTTTATTTTATTTACTTACTTTGGAGTCAGGGTCTCACTCTGTTGCCCAGGCTGGAGTGCAGCAACAAGAACACAGCTCGCCACAAGCCTCGACCTCCTGGGCTCTGGCAACCTGCTGCCTCAGCCTGATGCTCCTGGTCCTCTGAGCCCATGGCTCCTCCAGGGCACACCTGTGGTGGGCCGTTCCCGGGTGCGGCGTGTATCACCCGACCGCACCCTGGCCTCCCCTGGGTGTGTGTCTGGGCTCCTGTGTTATCAGACCGTGAGCATCTGGGGAGTCAGGCCTGTGTCTTGGTCACATCTGTGTTTTTAGTGGCCCCTTTCCGGGTCTGCTGCATGCAGTTGGTGCCCAATGATTGTTCAAGGAGATGACACTGCTGACCGTTTGATCAGTCTTCTTGCCTATTGCGCTCTGCCCTTTTGGGGGCCCTGTGGAGTCACCCTGCTGGGTGGGCCACCAGAAACCAGAAACAGTTCTGCCTCAGCTGTTCTCTCATCTTATCTGAGCTGCATGGGTCAAAGGAGGGCCTGGTTCCTGGGCCTCTGTTTTTCTTTTCTTTTCTTTTATTTTTTGGAGTTGGAGTCTCATTCTGTCACCCAGGCTGGGGTGCAGTGGCACGCTGACAGCCACCACAGCCTCCACCTGCGGGGCTCAGGCAGTCCTTCCGCCTCAGCCTTCCAAGTAGCAGGAACTACAGGCAAGTGCCACCATGCCTGGCTAATTTTATTTTGATTTATTGTAGAGATGAGGGCTCACCGAGTTGCCCGGGCTGGTCTTGAACCCATGGGCTCAGGTAGTCCTCTCACCTCAGCCTCCCAAAGTGTTTTTTTCTTTTTGAGTTGGAGGTCTTACTTTGTCGCCCAGGATGAGTGCTGTGGCATGATCATTGCTCACCACAGCCTCGACCTCTTGGGCTCAGGCAGTCCTTCCACCTCAGCCTCTCGAATAGCTGGGACTACAGGTGTGCACTACCTCACTCGGCTCAATTTTTACTTTTTTTGTGGAGTTGAGGTCTTGCTGTGTTGCCCAGGCTGGCCTTGAACTCCTGGACTCAAGCAGTCCTCCCACCTCGGCTGGGATGACAGGCGTGAGCCACTGTGCCCAGCCAACAGCCTCTTCTTTCTTGAGATTTCCTTGTAGTCAATGACTTTCCTGGTTCCTATTCTTTTTCCTGGGCTGCTGATGGGGCTTCCGTGCTGCTGAGGGCGGCCTGCAGAGGATCCTTGTGGGACCAATTGATTCCCCAAGTCACAGAGCAGACTGTGTAAGGGTGTATTCTCTCTTCCCAGACATTGACGAATGTTTGAGTTCCTCCTGCGAGGGCCACTGCGTGAACACAGAAGGCGGGTTTGTGTGTGAGTGTGGGCTGGGCATGCAGCTATCTGCTGACCGCCATAGCTGCCAAGGTGAGCCAGCAGAGAAAGAATGGCTGCTCTGGGAGGGCTCCTGGTGATGCCACACTGAGCACTCGGCCCTGCCAGGCCCTGCATGACTGGTGGGAAGGGAAAGAGCACGTTTGGGATGGGAGATGAGCACTGTGGGAACCCAGGGAACAGAAGGAGTCTCTCCTCCTAAGTGAGCAAGGCGAGAGATCTTTTATAATAATAACTCAATCTTTTTAAATGATTTTTGGCCAGGCACAGTGGCTCACACCTGTAGCCCCAGCACTCTGGGAAGCCGAGGCAGGATGATCACTTGAGCCCAGGAGTTTGAGACCAGCCTGGGTAACATGGTGAGACCTAGTCTCTATAAAAGATCACAAAAGATAGCCAGGCATGGTGGCGTGCACCTGTAGTCCTAGCTACTCAGGAGGCTGAGTTGGAAGGATCGCCTGAGCCCAGGAATTTGAGGCTGTGGTAAGCCGAGATCATGCCACTGCACTCCAGCCTAGGTGACAGAGTGAGACCCTGACTCAAAAAAAATAAATAAATAAATAAATGAAATGACTCTTATTTGCACAAATTACATAAGAAGTGTTCTCACATAAACAAGACAGATAAGCTCCCCTTTGATACTGTGCTATTTATTCTTCTCTGTGTGCTGAAAATTTTCCTAAGTATAAAAATTGCAGTATGAGCCCCAGACCCTGTCTCCCACTTCCATCCCGTCCTCTGCTCTCCCTCGAGAGTAGCCCTGGTGTCTGAGTCTGCTTGGGCTTCCATAACAGATTTCCACAGACGGGGTGGCTCACATGGCAGACTTTATTATCAGAGTTCTGGAGGCCGGAAAGTCCAAGACCAAGGTGCTGGCTAATTCCGTTTCTGGTGAGGACTTTCTTCCTGGCTTGCAGAAGGCAGTCTTCTTGTTGCAGCCTCACGTGCTGGAGGAAAAAAGAGCACTCTCTCTGGTGTCTCTCTTTTTTCTTTCTTTAATTTTTTTTTATTTTTGTGGAGACAGAGTCTCGCTATGTTGCTCAGGCTGGTCTTGATCTCCCGACTTCAAGTGATCCTCCCACCCCAGCCTTCCAAAGTAATAGGATTACAGGCAACCACTCTGCTGGTCCCTCTGGTGTCTCTCACAAGGGTGCTAATCCCATCATGAGGGCCCCACCCTCATGACCTCATCTAACGCAAATTACCTTCCAAAGGCCTCCCCCCCCCCAATGCCATCACATTAGGGGCTGGGTGTTCAACATGAATTCTCGGAGGGACTCAGGACTTGGTCCCATGTGTGCTCTGTCTGCCTCTGCCCACAATGGGTACAGAGCTACATCTGCACTTACAGAGGCATGATAGTTGCTGAGATCTCTTTTTTATTTTTTTTTGAGTCGGAGTCTCACTCTGTTATCCCACCTCTACCTGCTGGGTTCAGGCAATCCTTACACTTCAGCCTTCCAAGTAGCTGGAACTACAGGAATGCACCACTACGCCCTGTTTTTTTGATTTATTGTAGAGACAAGATCTCACCATGTTGCCGAGGCTCGTCTTGAACCCATGGGTTCAGGCAATCCTCTTGTCTCCGCCTCCCAAAGTGCTGGGATTAGTCGTGAGCCACCACTCCCGACTAAATTTTTTTTTTTTTTTGAGCTGAAGTCTCTGTCACCCAGGCTGGAGTGCAGTGGCTTACTGATGGCCACTGCAGTCTCCACCTGCTAGGCTCAGATGATCCTTCTGCCTCAGCCTTCCAAGTAGCTGGAACTACAGGCATGCACCACCATACCCAGCTAATTTATTTATTGTAGAGATGAGGTCTCGCGAAGTTTCCCAGGCTGGTCTCGAACCCCTGGGCTCAGGCAGTCCTCTCACCTTGGCCTCCCAAAGTGCTGGGATTATAGGCGTGAACCACCATGTCCTGTCTAGTTGCTGAATTCTTTTTGTTTTTTTTGAGTTGGAGTCTCACTCAGTCGCCCAGACTGAGTGAACTACAGGTGCGCGCTACCACGCCCGGCTAATTTTTGATTTATTGTAGAGATGAGGTCTCGCCAAGTTGCCCAGGCAGGTCTTGAACCCGCGGGCTCAGGCAATCCACTCACCTCAGCCTCCCAAAGGCACGGGATTACAGGCTGAGCCAACGAGCCCGGCTAGTTGCTGAATTCTTATATTCCAGGCACCAGACTGAGTGCTTCACATGCATTTTTTCATTTCACCCTCATAGTTATCCTATGAAGTTTTTTTTTCCCTCACTCTGTCACCCAGGCTGGAGTACAGTGGCACATTCATGGACACTGCACCCTTGACCTGCTGGGTTCAGGTGATCCTTCTACTTCAGCCTTCCAAATAGCTGGGACTACAGATATGTGCCACCATGCCCAGCTAATTTTTTGATTTATAGTAGGGATGAGGTCTTGCCAAGTTGCCCAGGGTGGTCTTGAACTGTGGGCTCAGGTAATCCATTCACGTCGGCCTCCCAGAGTGCTTGGATTATAGGCATGAACCACTGTGCCCGGCCAAAGTTGGAACTTTTAATCTCCATTTTATTGATAGGAACACTGAGCCTTAAGGAAATTGAATTATTTGCCCAAGATCACATTATAAACCCAGTCATTCCTCTGCTTGTCCCACCTCCCAACTCCACCCTCAACAATTGGTCTGGAAAATCTTTCTACATCAGGTAAATAGACCTGCCTTGTTCCTTATTTATTTATTTATTTATTTATTTATTTTCTTACTTGGAGTCAGTCAGGGTCTCTGTTACCCAGACTGGGGTGCAGTAGCACAATCGTGGCTCACTGCAGCCTCAACCGCCTGGGCTCAAGCAGTCCTTCTGCCTCAGCCTCCTGAGTAACTGGAACTGCAGGCACACACCACCACGCCCGTATAATTTTTTTTACTTTTTGTAGAGACGAGGTCTTGCTATGTTGCCCAGGCTGGGCTTGAACTCCTGGACTCAAGCGATCCTCCTGCCTCAGCTTTCCAAAGTATTGGAGCCACAGACATGAGCCACTGCATCCTGCCCCCTTGTTTCTGTTAACTGCTGGCTCTGCAGTGCAAATATTCCATAGTTTAGAAATTCTTCTTTTGTTGAACATAGAGATTATTTCTAGTTTTTCACATTTTCAAACAGCAAGGGAAGCTTTTACAGAGGAGGTGCTATCGAAGCTGAGTTTTGATGTATGAGTAGGAGCTTTTCAGCTAGACAAGGAAAGGTATTCGAGGCAGACAGAAGAAGATGGGCAAAACGGGGGCCCTGCAAGAATGTGATAACGTTTGGAAGACGGCAAGAATTTAAGGCAGAGGGAAGATAAAGGGTGAAGAAGGTGATGGGAAAGGCACCCAGGGCTGTGTTCAAAGACCTGCTGAGCTGTGAGGCAGCATTTGGTGCTTATTCTGGGATAAGACCTGGTGAGCCAAGGAGAGGTTCTGAGAAGGAACTGGCCTGATCAGATGTTAGTCAGAACATCCTGGAGGCTGTGTAGACGAGGGCTTGCAGGAACCCAGGTAGAGGCAGAGAGACACAGCGGAGGCGTGCTGTCCTTCAGACTAGAGACAGGATGGCCTGGGCTGGGGGATGGCAGCGGGGCTGGAGAGAAGTGGGCTGGTCCAGAGAGTATTTAGGAGTTGAGAGACTGGATGAGGGCGGGGAGGAAGAGAGGGAATTACCGCGGTCGCACAGCCCTCCGTGGGGTAGGAGATGGTGATGAGACAGGAAGAAGGAACCACCTATTTCCAGAGCTCTGTGGGGAACTGAACCCCAGCCTTGTCCTTTTCCCTGCCAGACACAGATGAATGCCTGGGGACCCCCTGTCAGCAGAGATGTAAAAATAGCATCGGCAGCTACAAGTGTTCCTGTCGGACTGGCTTCCATCTCCACGGCAACCGGCACTCCTGTGTAGGTAAGGTGGGCAGGCCCTGTGGGCTGCCAATCAAGAAGATGGACAGGGAGCCCAGGACCCCGGGACAGTCAACAGTTGGACCTCCTGGTCCTCTGGAGCCTGAGGGAGCTTGAGGCTTTGCTCAGAGCCTGCCTGTTCCTGAAGTTGGCGTGGCTCTGCATGGGAGACCCTTTCTTGGACTTTCCCTGGCCATGTGCCCTTTCACCCTGTTATGTTTCTCTTCCGCTCCTCCCCCAGATACACCCCAAGGATTCCTCTCTGCTCACCCATTTTCTTGGCTGCCTTTGCTCCCCTTGGTAAATAAAGCACGTTATGTCTTGGTTCCTCTGGTTTAGAAGGAGACCCCTGTTTCCTCAGCCCATTAGCAGACATTTCCAGAATGGGATTGGCATGTGCGGCTTGAGCTTGGCTCATGGGTTGAAGGTGGGGTCCCAGTGGGCCTGAAAAAAATGCCTTGTTCTAGTGGAGTTGGGTGTTTGTCCCGAAGTCTACCTAGAGCAGCCGTTCAGCGAGTTCTGAGACATTTTCAGAAAGAAAATCGGGAGGGTGGAAGGTTTGGAGATCAGATTCCCGGCGGGGCTCAACCCCTCCGGGCAGCACTTAATTAGTTATGGCTACGTAGTGTTGGGGATACGTCCCTGATTCATCCATTAAATTAAATTGAACTGGATGTATGAACCTGTCAAGGAGACCAGCGCTAGATTTCCGCTCAGCTCCCGGCTGTCCGAGTCACATCCTGCACCCCGGGGCAGCGACAGACCCCGTAAGAACATGGCAGGGAGACTCCCCCAGTCTTTTGGGCTCACAGAAGGAACGAAGAAAGACCCCGATAGCCCGAACAAGGCAGCTGTCTGCAGCGAGGCTCTCCCGCAGATGTAAACGAGTGTCGGAGGCCCCTGGAGAGGCGAGTCTGCCACCATTCCTGCCACAACACCGTGGGCAGCTTTCTGTGCACGTGCCGACCTGGCTTCAGGCTCCGGGCAGACCGCGTGTCCTGTGAAGGTGAGCGCCAGGCCCCGCCCTCCCGGCGGCCGCTCCT